CAAACTCCTACATCTGGTTTTTAGAGCTTTTGTTTTGTATTTTAATAGAACCAAACTGATGCTGCCACCATCAGCATTTTTCTCCAAAACAAGGAATGACAAAAAGATGGGTGATTTCCTAATGATTGCATGAAAAGTGATGGCAGTTCTGAGTATTGAACAAGTCCCTAGCACTATGGAGTAACCTTTCAGAACCATTTTTCAGTATTAACTTACTAACCACTATGAATATGACCAAATATTATGTTCATCCTGCTGACTATACACCATATCAATGAGCATGCTAATTTGATCTTGCACATCACAGGTACTCATTTACAAGTCCAGTCTAACTGCAAACAACCACATATTCTGATCTGACATCACATAATGTACTGGCAGATCAGAATCTACATTGTTTTTTCTGCTTCTTACTTCCAACAAACTTTATACACGTAGATTTGCCAGCAAATTAATGAATTGTGAATTAAAGTAAAGGCATATAAATCATTAAAATTACAATATCACCCTTCTATATCATCAACACATTTTATATTAAAGGGCATACAAGGTAACTTCACACCCCTTCATGTTTGAGATTTTTCAACTGTGATTAGGAGAGGATAAAAATGGTAAAAATGTCAACTGGTTAAGAATAAAATTTCTGGTGTAACTGGTTAAAATTGGTTATTTGGCACATTTTTAAATTTTTTTTAATGGGACAGTAAAGTAAATTGCTCACATTTGTGCTGTTGGGACAAGAGCTTATTATTTGCTGTATGGCACTTAAAGCATCAGCCTGAATTCTCAAATCATAAGAATATAGCAATAAGTATGTTTGGATAATACATTGAATGTGTGTGTGTGTGTGTGTGTGTGTGTGTGTGTGATTTAGATTTTTAACTTAGCCTTTAACAATTTTTCAGCCATACTGCTAGGATGTCTGAAGTATGACAGTTTATAGTGACCTCTAGCACTGGGGCATCATGCTGCAGACATGTTGCATGATGTCCCATCCAGTCACCTTATCCTGACAAGAGGCCAACCAGTCCAAACCCTAACCTCTTAATGCTGAGTACAAAGCAAGGCAGCTGTTAGTATCAAACCGAAGAGCTCTAACCACTAGGCCACCCTAACCACTAGGCCACCGGAGTGGTATATTCATCCCTTGCTATATCTAATGTGAAAGCTTAAATGATGCTTACATACACCAAGTACTATATCTAATGCTAAATTTTGATGATACTTACATACACCAGCTGAGTTTGATGTTGAGTTTTAAGCTAAGAACTTTCAAGCCCTGACTTGTACAAAGAAGTCAGAGTGACACAAAGAACTTTACCTGATAATGAGTAGCAGTTTTCAACACCTACACACAATCAAATAATTACTACATGGATAACTTGTACCAGTTATCATTCTTCCATGATACCGAAGTGGGATTTTACAATTTTACAAATGTACTATAATATATATTATATATTAGGAACCAAATGGGTGGAGGCATAGCAATTAAAGATTAATCAGAATTAAATGCACATACTTGCATACAAGTCCAGTCCAACTGCAAAAAACATCAACATAGATCTGCATCAGATAATGCATTGGTAGAACAGGGTCTCTGTTGTCTGTTCTACTGATTAGTCCAGACAAACTGCCCAGACCCAGATCTATTGGCGTATTATGTGATTACAGACCTGGGTCTGTGCAGTGAACAGTTGGATCTGACTTGTAAGCAATTATATATCATAGATATTTTCTAAGGCCCATGAAGGATAAAATGCACAAGAATATAAGGGGCTGTTTTCTGAGATCCAAATTGTATGAACTGAATACTTTATGGTCCTTTTCTTGTAAACTGATAACCATAATTTTATTATCAATTAGAAAGAGCTATCATTCAAATTCATGTTACAAGTCATTACATCCATACTCAATTAGAAAACAAAATGACATGCACTATCTACCCTACAACAAAACTCCAAAAGGTTCTAATTACAGCTATCAGGTCAGGCAGGTCTACCCAGACCTACATGTAACAGTCAAATATCCTACCACTATGCTTGGCAAAACATGTGGAATAAAAACTCCATAAACAAGCTCTGTAACAAGAAACCATTATTGGAATATGCCAATTTCTTTTATATACAAAAAATAGAGAGGTGATGGTGTTCTATCAACCAAACACAGGACACTCTTTACTCTGCATATCCTTTGAAGACTGACTTTTGGCCAGAGTGCATGCCCTGTAAATGTCCACTAACAGTGCCAGACAGCACACTGCTGTCCAGTTTTGTTTGCAAAGTACTGAGTCAACAAAAGGTAATGGCATACTTCATATACTATAAACATACTTGCTCCTAAGCAGAGTCAGCTGCAAACTGCACATAGATCTGCTGTTTCAGAATGCACTTGCAATCTGAGTCTTTGCACTATTTTAGGTGTGTAACAAAACAAAGATCCTGATCTGCTGGCAAATCATGCTATGGCAGATCAGGGTCTATGTTGTTATTTGTTAGACTGGACTTCCATGCCAATATACATGTATATGGTATGCAGTTATTAAACGTAACTACATAGGCAAAAGTGTTTTGAAGGACATCCTTGAAAACTAACAGACCACTTTTTCTAAGAACAAACTACCAATGAAGCCTGGCATGGTTATATACAATGAAACAAGTTGTTACACTAAAAAAAATGGGGGAGTGGGGAGATAGACACCCTGACCTTTAAAGCAGGCATGCATACACCAAATTCAAATGGCTGCATTCTACCTTCATTGGCAACATACACCTGTGAAGCTTGGTACTGGTAAAGTATTGTTCAGTAAAACTCAATGTGCAAACTCATTTTCTTTTTTTAAGTAACAATAATTTGAAACTTGGACCTTTCAAACTTAAAAATGATTTTGTACCTTTAATTAAGGCAATTCCCAAATATAATTTTTTGAATATGTAGATGCATTATACCAAGTTATTTGGAGGATTATAGCAAAATAAGTTACTTCGGAGACTGCATGGTTATTATAAGATAGACAGATAAAGTCAGTCTTATGTACAACATGATATAGTATAGCATCAGGTACTTCAAACTTCATCCTAACAATGACTAAGCATTTGTACATTTTAAAGGACATAATTATAAGCACCTGTGCAAATAAATATGACCATACTTTTTCTTACAAAGAGAAAATTCAGAAAGGAAAATAATTTACCTAAACAAGAAATGAAGAATATAGTTAACATGCAATAATAAGTTGCTAAAAGCTTAGAATGTTTACAGCAGACAAAAAACTTCAGCCACCTGTTGCAGCAAACGTAGCTCACTCAATGCTGGTAAGGGCTGCATACCATTAAGGGACCAACCACTTAGTTTTTGGAAGCATGGCCTACACTTTTCTTTTCAACCAGATGTTTTAAAACTAATTTTTTTTATCTCAAATGTATAAGAAAATTTCCAACCAAGTTCCTTTCCTTAAATGTGAACAGAGTATTTTTGGCAAGCTATATGTAGGCTAGATTTTTTTCCTCTCATTAAAATCCATGCTCCTTTCCAACTCCCCTTAATGGTTGGTCCCTGACTTATTGAATAAAAACCCACCTAAGACATCATCCATGCCTCCTTCAGCAGGTAAATCTGTCTGTCTGAATGAGTGGGGGAAAAAGGACATCCTCAACAAGCTGATCCTCAATATATTACACTATGACACAATCTTATCTCCCAATGGAATGCATGCCCATCCTTTGATGGGTCACTATCTGCACAGCATAAACAAAACAGCACACTAGTAGCTCAGGTGACTTTGTCCCTCATTCAAAACACCACAACTGATGATATGATCCAGAGAGATAATCTAACAAGGCTCCCTCACATTATCTGAATGCAGTATACTCTTGATTAAAATCAATATCTTGGCTACAGGGGAGAAAAGTAGTTTGATATAAACTGCAGTCTGGATTTCAAGGCTTCATCCTTCCAAGATAACACCCTTTGATAAGAGATGTATAGCAAGATAAAGTACATAAGCCTGGCAAAACGGACCAATATAGGAAAGTCAAAACTAAGCACAATTCATTGGTGACAAGTGGAGGCTGGGAGCAGCACAAGGGAGGCAACTATACCATGCATATCTTCATCATAATTCCTTTTCAAGTACACAAGCTAATGATGTCTCTGGAAGGGGAAGAAAACTTTCCATTACATTAAATATATGCTCTGGTTATTTGAAAATAATCAGAAACAAAGTAACTACTTGCACAGAAAAAGAATAAAATTCACATGAAGACAATTAACATGTAGTTTATCACAATTATAATTTTTTTTCCAAACAAACATGTTCCAACTCCATGAGCCTCAAATGACCATTATGAAACAATGGGGTCCACAGTATGTTATGTCATGCCTTTCTAACATAATGCAACCACCTATGAATGTAATTTCACATATTGGTTGAGATTCAGAAAATATTTAATTTCAAGTTATGACCTATATAGTTCCTCCTCAGAGTGACTTGGCCTTTCTTTTCAGTATTTAAATGGTTATATGGTGGGTATCTCAATGCTTTCAAAATTAAGACCCAGAAAATGGACACCAGGGAGTTAGTAAAGACCCAAGAACATGTTGATGCACAAGAATAACTGTTTATTTAAGTACATAACAGAAAGGTGGGAAATAATAGTTTCAAGTTATGTCAGCCATTCATAATGGGTAAATTGAGACCTAAGATTGCATAAAACTTATAAAAGTGTGTGTGTGTGTGTGTGTGTGTGTGTGTGTGTGTGTGTGTGTGTGATTTAGAGTTGTAATGTAGCTTTAACAATTTTTCTGTCATTTTGCTACAATGTCTGCAATGTGACAGTTCATAGGATGTCTAGCACTGGGGCATCATGCTGCAGACATGTGGTATGGTGGCCCACCCAGTCACATTATCCTGACACCAGGGCAACCAGTCCTAACACTAACCTCTTAATGCTGAGTGCCAAGCGAGGCAGCTGTGAGGACTAATTTATAAAGTCTTTCGTATGACTTGGCCGGGGGGTTCGAACCCGCAACCTTCCTACATCTGAGGCGGACGCTCTAACCACTAGGTCACAAGAGCAGTTACTTAAAAAAGTTATGGGGTGGAAATTTCAGAGTGATGTTGGTTCAAAAAGATCAGATTTAAAGTAAAAGTATGCTTTTGTAGCAAAATTACATCAAATTCTGTCAAGATGTACTATGCAGAATGTGGACATTGCCATATCTCTGCCCATCCAAGCACACACAAAACATTTTTAACAATTAGAGACTTTACAAATGATTCCAGTATGGACAACATCAGCATTGTTATCTCATTTTTTCTTGTCTGGTCTGGCTATTATCAATTCACATTAAAGAAGAGCTTCTAAAAGCTTTTATCCAGATAATACTCTTGAGAATTTATGATACTTTTTACATCTTTACCCAGTGCTCCTGAACATTTAACTATATTGTAAAGTCATGGGTGTAGTTGTGGCTGCACTGCAAATATATCAACAGTAATATTTGATTACATATGTATTTGTGCAAACAAGGTTGTGTTACTGATAGGTGGGTGCACTCTTGCAGTTACATTTGATAATTGCATTTTACAAGCTAGGATAAGGTGAGTGTACTGCCAGCTGTAACATTTGATAACTGTATTGTACAAGCTAGGGTAAGGTGGGTGTACTGCCAGCTGTAACATTTGATAACTGTATTGTACAAGCTAGGGTAAGGTGGGTGTACTGCCAGCTGTAACATTTGATAACTGTATTGTACAAGTTGGGGTGTGGATGTTGGTAGGTGGATGCATTGCTGGCAGTTATATTTGATAATTGTACCATATCAGCCATGGTGTAGTTGTTCACAGGTAGAGTTGCACTGCTGGCTGTAATATTTGATAAGCATATTGTATAAAATGATATATGGTTGTTGGAAGGTGGGTGAAATACTGGCAGTTACATCTGTTTTTAAATAAAACCATTATAATGATTAGTTGTTGTTGTTGGGCTTAACGCCATTTTTCAGCACACAGCACACAATAGGCTATTCATGGCGGCCAGTATTATTGGTGGAGGAAGAAACAAACGGAGAAGCTACTGGCAAGCTTTCTCACATATCTACATTAGCCGGAATCCTAGACTCCAATCCTAGACTCTAGACTCCAATCCTAGACTCTGAGGTGAGATGGCAGTGATCGTAGTAATGGACAGTAATGGACTGGCTTTAGATCACTCTTTAGATCACTCAGCTGGCCACTCGGGGGGCCCCCTATAATGACTAGTATAAATAATGTACTAATCACTTCAAGTAATAGGCAAAAAGCTGGCTCAGATGCACATATCAATTTGGGAATGTTTTTAAAAAATTTATTACATATTTTTTACAAAGCAGGAAAATTTGATAAGTGCAGCAATCAAAAACAGGACTGTTGGCCAACTGGAAACATTTTTTAATGGCATAAAGCAAGCATCTTGGCCACTCGGCCACCAGGCCCTGCTGAAGAAAATAAAAGGATGCAATAATAATATTAACAACAGCAACTGCAACAACCCACAATAAAAAAATTCCCATAAATTTTATTGCAAGGCTCAACCCCATTTCCCTGCTGTACTTACCTCTACCCCTGACAACAATCTAGGGGTCAATCACATATTTGCAACATATTCTTGCTCCAGCTCTGCATATATAAAATTTTGGGCAGGAATATTTGTTGATTTGATTTAAATGAAATTAATCTGACCTCTTATCCCTTTTATTGTATATGGTTACTCTTGGGAAACATAGGAAAAATAATTTGTGAACTTCCACCCACTGGCAACTAAATCAGGATGGATATAATTATTATTATTATTTTTATTATTATTATTATTATTATTATTATTATAATTATTATTTTTATTATTATTATTATTATTATTATTATTATTATTATTATTATTATTATTATTATTATTATTATTATTGCTGTTGTTGTACTGCACATCTAATCTGTCATAATTTATTTAGTTCATGCACAATGTTAAATACAATATTTTGGGGATTTGGTTTTGTTTAAGTTACAACTGACTGATAAACATACTTAATAAAATTACATAAAAAAATTGACAGACATTTAGTTGGAGATCATTAATTCTGCTCAAGACCTCAAGATTACAAAGAGATATAAGGAAATCAATAATTACAACAGGCTTGCACCAAGCATATTCTGTAAAGAACAAATTGTGTGCACCCAAATACATTATTAAAGTACTACAACAATGTCAAATAATGCTAGTCATTATTCAATCTTTCTTTGCAAACACAATTTATTTCTCAAAACATTTTAATCTTAATTTTACAACATTTTAAAACTTTACATATTTCTCTTAAAATATAAATAAATAGCTTTTTAATTATTCACAATGTAAATTGTTGTGTTAGCATTTCTGACAGTTAAATCTTGCTGGTTAAGTTTTTGATGGTTATTAAAAAAAAGTGTTTTTCCAGACAAAATAATTGAGACATTTTGTATATGTTAGTAGCAATAGCTTTGCTGAATTCTAATGCCTATTCTCCATTACTGACACTTCAGTTAAGTATACTTGATTGTTTATTATCATGCAGGCTATTGTTCAGTGTACAGAAAGCTCAGAAGTTGAAACTCTCTAGAATAATTAAAGACCTGAAATTAGGGCATAACTGACTTTTGATCCAGAAATCTTTTGATCCAGAAATCAGATTCTACTGGATAGTAAAAACTTCCGATTACTATGAGTTGGAAAAGACAGGAACAACGATTCAGATAATAAAAAAAATTAAATTTTAATAGCACCATGTCTAATACTGTGTAATTTGTAATTTGATAGTGTGTTGATGAAACAAGAACAATTGTTGAATAAAGTACAGGGTGGAACTGGTCGCTTGCCAACATAAATGACTAAGGTGGGATAATTAAAGCATATATGCTGCATGGATGCATTGGAACTGTATGATAATGTAAATAAAATTTATATTAGCTTACAGTGTGAAAATTTTTTTAAAAATTTTAAGTGTCTATATTTATTATGTATAACAATGTGATCATAGAAAATATGTTTATAATGTTTCAGTGCATTTTACCCAAAAAAATATTTCATTAATTCTTTGTGGCTGTGAACTTTTTTACATTTTGCTATAGTCCTGCCACATCCTTCCCCTTGTGACATCGGTGTGATGTGCAAAACGTGTGTAATATGTTTTAAAAAGTTAATTTGAAAAACCTTTTATTATTTCAAATTAATTTAATCGTATCCAGAATGGGAAACATTTTATGCCCAAAATCCGGAAAGGAAATCAGTAGAAAAATGCTAATCAGTTATGCCCTAACCGAAATCATGTAATGAAATAGCAATTGTTTGGGTTAATGTCACCAAAGCATGTTAAGTAAATTTCAACATTAACAGTTCTGCTTAACAAATTTAATAATTAACCTCTTCCCCCTTTTTTCTGATTGACAGAATATTTGCCCAATGTCCCACTCCTATTATCTTTAGTTCACAAAGACTCATGAAAATAGAGCAAAGATGTCAACAAACAGGTTGTTAAACAGTTCAGTGAGATATTCATGGTTGCCAGTAGCATATGACTTTATAGTTGTTCACCTGCCATGAGTACATAGCCTAGATTTTGGTAAACTGGAGACAGCTGACATGTTGCCAAGGCTACCAGAGGGATGAGGCTGTTAATTGGGAAATGAAAACAATTGAACAAAATAAAAAGTTTAACATCTTTGTGACTAAATATATATGGTTTCAAAAGATTCAAAATTTTATTTGTGTTTTATGCCACATGTGGTAGCATTTGTAAGCCTAAACATTTTTCCTGCAAAGTAGAAATTTGCCCGTCACAGTAAAAGTGGTCATTTGCTTTGGAAGATAAACAATTGATCAGATTCCATTGCTTTTATTTGTGTTTGGTACTGACTTCTTTAGAGGAAAGCTGTTTCATTTTCATTGAAAATGTTACCTTGCTTTGATGAAGGGAGTATGTGTATTTGAAGTCACTGCTAAATGCAAACTTTTAAGGACCATATTCAAAGAAGAGCATTGATTGACTGATTGGTAGTGAAAAAAGACCCAAGAAACAAATGGTTGAATGCAGCCAATCCTTTTCCTATCTTCAGAGGTTAATCAATTATAGCTAATCCAGTGACATGCAGAAACTCTTTTGTTAATATAAACAAATGATTTGTTTATGCAGCAATAGATAGCTCCAGTGCCTTTTATATCCAAGTTTGCCGCTTCCTAGTGCCTTTGAATTTCTCTACCCTAACTGGAGATTGTAAAAACAGCCAAAATATGTTGTAGCAAAAAAAAAAAATCAGCTGGTTGGTATGTGTTATAGCCAATAAGTAAAACATTGCAATTTGCAACATTGGCAAAATATATTGTAGCAAAAAAAAATCAGCTGGTTGGTATGTGTTATAGCCAATAAGTAAAAAAATGCAATTTGCAACATTGGCAAAGCCTAGCACTATTCCTGCCAATGACTAAATCAATCACATTGTACTTCCAGCATATGCAAAACAACCATGACTACAGACACTCATTTCTGTCTTCCTTACAAGGGTTTAAATTAGAGATAGATCTCAGAGGATAGTCTCATATTGTGGTGATGCACAGGCTGCATTCTCCCTTGTCTTGGGCTTAATTTTAGTACTGCAGATCAGATTTAGATAAATCATAGAGAATTCCATAAAATCTCATGCCATAGGTTAAGCAAATAATCAACAGGTAACTTTAAAAATTCACAAGCCCGAGTCAAATTCCATATAACCCAATCAAAATTTTCATATGCAAAAATTGTCCCTTTTTTCATTTTTAGTTTTTGAATTTTTAAAGTTACCTGCCCTGGACCCCGAGTCTAAAAAAAATTATTTTCTTTGAGCACTGACACTGAAATTAAATTGTTATGTACATGTAATTTAATTATTTGCTTGTTAGTTTTAAATTTTTTGTTATTTCATTATATGCTATTGTATTGATAACTGTCTACTGGATTTGATTTTTCTTTTAGCAATTCAGTTCAGTTCTATTTTACCTGATAAAAAACCAGTAATAGAAATATTGTATCTAGTTGC